GAAAAGTATCAAAAATACACTCACCATTCACGTTGTCTACTTTTAATATATTTGTTTCCAGAACTGTTTCTGCACTAGTAGTGGGTGGCAATGGTTCAAACTCATTTGTAACAAGCAGTACAACTTCTGTAAAAAAGGTACAGCAATAATTAGCAATCAAGTTAATTAATGTGAAATAAATAATGATTTAACTTTGATTGTGCGACACAGCAGGCACATTATATTCTTTTGCAAATATGTTGATAGGTACCTACATGACAGCTATAATAATAATAAATAAATAGTTTATTGGTAAAAACAAGTATAAGTATAAACACAATATTAGATTGGATCCTCCTTTTAGGCAGTTAGTGCCTGTATTAGGAGAGTCCGCTCTTCTTTAAAGGAAGTATTATGGATACTTACGGTTTTGAGTAGCCTCACTTTCTACAACCTCAGTTGTGTCCATTTGTAATGGTGGAATTCTTAAAAATTCTTCCATTTTAGGAACATCAATTGTGTCTGCAACAAAGCATATAGGTATTTTATTTGAATAGGTATGACTAATTATTTACAATAAACCACTTTTGATTTCAAATAGACCGCATCGGTAAAGACGGTCACGTTCCCTAGTGCTTTTTTAAACAAGTGAACAAGCTTACCTTCTTGATTTTGTGGCAATACATCGGAGTCGAAAATACTTTCCAAGCCATCGGCGCTTAACGTTATCATGGCTTTAATTTGTTCTTCCACATTATCGAGTGGAGGAGCTGTGTTCTTACCACCTCCGGTACGGTAAAGTTCACTATTGTTTTATTTACAGCTAATGTACCGAAAAAAACACTTTTTGATGAGCTGACTCAAGCTAAGCTGGAACTAGTTCAGCTCCAAAAAGATTTTTTGGAAGCAGAAATAAATGAAAAAAAGAAGGTGTGGGAATTTGAAGAAAATGAACGCAAGAAGGAGGCAGAGTTTAAAGAAAAGGAGCGCAAATGGAAGGAAGAAGAGTACCTACAAATTAAAATTAGGAAACAATTTTAAATAAATAAATTGTTTGTTTTATTTAGGGTCTATTATTATTTAGTAATGGTAAAAAATATTCTTGCACCAGTCTATTTCTAGGATCATAATTCAGCTCAGGGCTCTGCGCTGCAATTTCTTCCAGAGTCTGTGTATCAGTTGAGTTGTAGTTGTCCCCAAAGTTTCTTTCATTTACATCAATTGCAATATTATGCAATACAAAGCAGGCAACTATTATAGCTTGTACACGAGCTAAGTTTAATGTTATCTGTCGCCTAAGGACAGGAAACCTGTTCTTGCACACACCAAAACATCTTTCAATAGTATTCCTTGTTCGAATATGTGACTCATTATATAAATTTTCTGCCGGGGATGATGGGTTCAGAAAAGGTGTCAAAAGATATTGCTTTAACTCATATCCACTGTCACCAAGAAGTAAGCCATCTCTAAATTGTCCACTTTCAAATCTGTGTTTCAAAGATGAATTATTGAAAATTGTCTGATCATGAGCAGATCCTGGCCATCTTGCTACAACATCCAAGCATTTTAATTGGCTGTCACAAACAACCTGAACATTAATTGAGAAGTTTGACTTTCTGTTCCTATAATTTTCAGCTGAATTGCCTCCTGAAATGAAAAGTGGATGTGGATTACATTTTAATATTTTATTATGTACCCAAATAATGATTACCAAGTTATTATTTTCTTACATTGGCATGACAACATTAAAGAATAAAACATACCAGGTGACTTTATTGCAACATGGGTACAATCTAGAGCCCCTATTACCCTGGGGAAGCTTGCGATTTCATAAAAACCATCTTGAAGGGTGCTTAAGTTGTCAGGGAACTTTATTATCACTGTGCGTAGTTGAGCAATAGCCTCAGTCACCTTCTTAACGATACGGCTTGCTGTTGGTGGACTGACTCCACAAAAATCAGCCGCACTTCTTAAATAGGATCCAGTAGCGAGATACCTCAACGTTAATAGTAGGCTTGTTTTTGTTGGAACTGCTTGATTTCTGAAATAAAGATTTTTATAATGTACCTACTAACTGCACCTACTTACTTCAATCAACAGGTAACAGAACACATAAGTAGGTAGGTACTTCAAATTATAGGAGGGATTAATATGGTTTGATAGGTTATCTTAGGTAAAATCACTTGAATAATTAAAAAATACCACTCACCTTTGCGATTTAGGCATTATTTTATGTTTAATAAAGTTATGCACTTGGTTCACTGCATATTTCGATAGACGAAATCTAGCGAAAAAATCAGTTTCATCCAGGTCCGTAAAATAATCAACACGGAATTTAAATACACGAATCCTCGCTATTCGTTGCGTCGAAGAATGTTCTAATTCATCCAACTGATGATCAATTAAATCAAATAAATCCATTTTTATTCGTTTATTTTAAAATAATCGTTGGTGATGCAAGAAAAGACAACAGACAATACTTAATCGTCGAGTAAAGCACGCTAATTGGCAGAAGACGCGGCAAGTAAGTTACGGGTCAGTTAATCTTATGATTAGTGCTACTCGAACGTCGTGAAACTCGCACGTGAAGTTACGGGTCACTTTAACTGGCGATTAGCCTACTCGACACTTTACTTGAGGGTGGTGAAACAGGCCCTAATAATACCTAACATCTATTAAGTAAGTGGAAAAATTTAGTATCAGCACTAGATACACCCGTAGCTAAATCGAGTCGGGTCTCTAATAACTTATACATAACTGAATAAATAGACAAAATTAAACATGAAAATAAATACGATTTATAATTTATTCGACAATTTAAGACATAAAAACCATCCTAAAAAATGTCAATCCATTTTGTACCGGTGTTAAAGATTAACTTATTTCTCAACAAAATACATATATACTAGGTAAGTATATAACACAACTCTAAATTGCCCACTTTTGATGACAATCAACGCAAGTAGTTAGCTATTGCACAAAGTGTGTAACAATGCAATTTCCCCTCATAATCCCCAGTGGGTGGAATAGAAACCGACTGTCATTAAAACATTAAAACAAAGTGTCCACGAGTCACAACTCGACTTGTATCCGCTCACCGTACACCGCAATCATTGTAAATTAGTTTTGCGAAACTTTGAAGAAACTCCATCTGCGGTAGCGTGCGTTCTTGACTGTATTATTAGAGGGTGTAATGATTGAGGCAAGGTTAGAGCCGTGGAGAATGTTAAAGCAACAAATTTTATGAGGTTATTTTATTCAAAGCAGTTTTTTTCCAAAGTAGGCGATAACGCCCCCTGGTGGGCGATGTAAGCCTCATAGAGTCAAGAAAACAGGGTGTTGTAGAGGCGATTTTTTAAATAATACTTTTTGCCGAGATATCATCATACGATATGATTTCTGAGTGTCAGACTCTTACTGCCTAAAAATTTAAATCATCTTGTACCATCTCCTGCTCCGGGCTTTAACTTATTTTTTTTATTTATTAAAATAGGAGCCATTGATTTTTTGTGGGCAGTAGCAAAATAAGTTTGGTCTGATTCAAAGGATGTAATTTGACTTCTCTATCTACAACCCTGTATATCTAAAGTCTGAATTTTGAGACGTTTTATTCCAAAATATCTCTTTGTTTTGTATAACATTTCACGTGACAAATATTAATTATAAGTATGTACCTATAACAGCTTAGATCCTGTAAATGTTTGTCGAACGCATTCGGCTAGTGTTATAGACGTTCGTCGCGTCGTGTATCGCGCGTCGCTCATCGCTAGTCATGATTTTGAGCCCCTACTGTAGCATGTAACTAGTCGAACAATGACTACCATAATAGGTATACCTAATCAAGTTAATCAACTTAATCAAGTGGCCCAATCCTTCCCCTCCCCCGATCCCTCCCAATCCCTAAATCTCCAAAAACCTAATTCCTAAAAGGTCGGCAACGCACTCGTAATTACTCCGTTGCGGGTGAACGCTAATTACTTATTGTTTACTGTACATTTTTCTGAATATACCTTTTTTAGTTAAATTTCAAAGGGAATGCCGCAAGGGGCGAGTCGATGCATCAAAATAATTATTTAATTGTTAAATTTTTCACTCGCCCCGTAAGGGTTTTCGTAAGGGGCGAACCACAACTCCAAATTAATAAAAACGGGGCGAGTGGAACATTTTAATCGGAAGGGGCAAGATCCAGGGGGCGAGCTGATACTACACCAAAAATTCGTTAAACACACAATTAATTTAAAAATACGAATGGAGAGCTTCCTATGTTGGTATTTTTATGTTTATTTACGAATAGGAAAATCAAAGGTAATAAATTTACTTAGATATATAGTTTTTATAATCACTAGCGATTTCTAATGCACACTAACAGGAAAACGAATGTACCTACATAACATATAATAATTATAATATTCAAAATCTAGTATTGCGGCACAATAGGACCTCGAGGGACCTTACTAGGAATATTTGTGGTGAATATAGAGTTAAATTGGCCCTGTACTGTAGTAGCTACCAACATTGCCTATTTTGAAAGTGGCCAATGATCCAACTGTTATTAAATCGATGGTGCGGTGCGTACGAGCGGTTTGTGTCGCAGTCTCAGTTTATCATTATATATTTTTGAATATTTGTATGGGCATTGATAGTATATAAGAATGTGTGACATTTACATTGACAAAAAAGTAGGTACCCCGTTACTAGTACCTTGGAATATGCTTGGAATAAAATTTGCATAACTGAGACTACTGACTTTTTTCCTAACTTCTTAAATTACTTATCTAAATAACACTGATTAGACAGAGAATATTTTGGCTCCATTTAATGCCACAGTCTAAAAAAAATATCGTTCTACAAAGAATTCACTAGAGAAAAACCACCTACTTCAACATACCTAGTAGATAATTCCAAACATAACTTAGGATCTATTTGTTGTGAGACTTGTTCTATTTTAATTTTAGTTGACGTATTTATACGTGTTTCTTACCAGTTTGAATCAACATTCATTATTGTTCATTCTGTTACAGAAACCAAAAATGTTGGAAGGAACGAAGATCAACTCGCCATCACAAATGGCGAGCGTGTTCGACATCGCCAAGGACACAGTTCTGTTCCTAGTGTTATCCTGCTATTACATATTAGAATCCCTATTCTGGACCTTAGTGCCTAACGCAATAAGGCCCATGAAGAGCCTTAAAGGGGATGTGGTGCTAGTGACTGGAGGCGGTGGCGGTGTTGGTCGCCAACTCGCCGTCAAATTGGCCAGACTTGGAGCCAAGGTCGTAGTTTGGGACATCAGCAAAGAAGGTTAGTTCTATGATCAATTTAGTTTCCTTTTTTAGGAGGTAGGTCGCCGAACAACCTTAGACTGGTTTCCTTTTAGGCTTATTTATGTGGCTATTGGCAGCCAGTTGTACCTACATTTATTGCCTTGGCAAATTATAAGAAAGTATAATGTTGCACGAATATTATTAAGTAACAAGTTCTTAATAAACATGGTAAATTATGCTTTACTAAATCGGGTTCAAGAACAAAATAATTAGATTTATTTTGGACTTAATAACCAGATAGGTATATGTACCTACTTAATTATACAAATTAGTTTAATTCAGTTAATCGATCGAGAAAGTATTGTAACTATTTAATGAGGAAGGTAGGTAGGAATATTGTGCTCTAACTGCCGCTTAGGTATGCTTACAAATAAATAAGAACTGTAGATTACCTAATCCATTACTAACTAGTTTTTTTTTGGGACGTTTATTTTTTTTATAGTACCGTTTCCTGTTACATTATACTCTCATATTTTTAACGAATTAAAATTATGCATAAAAAAATGGAAAAAAATACTTATTAAAATAATAATTATTCATCCTGTTACAGGTCTACAAAAAACGTGCGCAGCGGTCATTGACGAAGGCTACGAAATTGCGAGCTACGTCGTAGACCTTGCGGATCGTAGCGCCGTCTACGCAGCCGCTGAGAAAGTGAAAAAAGAGGTTTGTTTTTGCATCTTTTATTTTTCAGAAATGTTATTGGTATAAACTTTTTAATTTATTTTATTAGGTAATGCGACATAGGCACGAACTGTAATCTCTGAAATTTCTAACACTACCTACCTAAACAGTATGTTTATACATTGTTATACTTAAATATTAGAAGACATAATTAACGTTTTTAATATATAATTTTTGGGTTTAATTGCAACGAATACATTGTCATACAACATTGAGACAGCCCCAGAATGTTTTATACCTACTTGGTTGAATGGCACAATATTCTTCATATTATGGAGAATACCTTTTAGAAATATTTTACTTGCTTAGTAGATATCTAGGTAGTTATGGCATAAATACTTAGTTGATAATTGTTTTCACTTTTCAGGTGGGCAAGGTAGATGTGTTAATCAACAATGCAGGCACGGTGTTCGGTGAAACACTACTGGATCTCTCTGACTCCGCTATAGAAACCACGTACAAAGTCAACATACTCTCGCATTATTGGGTAAGTTTCATGTTCTTTACGGGCTCCTGCAAGACCCTGCTACAACAAATAAGTACCTACATTCATCAAATGTTAAAAATTATAATAAAAAACTACTTAAGAACATTTTATTGTAACTACGATAAAACTCATGCTAATTTAAAAAACGATAATGCTCTCACATCACACACATTTAAACTTTTACATCCTTAAACTCACAAACATCACGCACACACCCAGAAATTACTCTCACACATACAAACCTACTTGAAAAGTGCCTATCTAGCGGTCACATTGTCTTTTCTAGTACCTAATAATTATGATATAAATCTTTTTTTTTCTAAACTAGTAATAATTTATAATATCTAATTGCAGACCGTGAAAGCGTTCCTGCCAGAAATGATCAGTTCTGGCAAGGGGCACATCGTGACGGTCGGCTCGGTAGCGGGGCTGCTTGGCACTTACCGCTGCACAGACTATAGCGCTACCAAGTTCGCCACCGTCGGCTTCCATGAGAGCTTGTTCACGGAATTGAGGGTATGTATCGTAAAATATTGGCCATAATTCATATTATAGTTTTTTGAAAAGTAGTTTTAGTCTTATTATGTGAGAAGTAGAAAAAAATGCAAAATTTTAAATTTGTTATCTCCACTATAGAACCAAAAGATATGAGAAAATTTACGCACTGTATTTGAAGAGGCGACACCGCTTATAACATTAAAGCACCAAGTTAGTAGGTAGTCTTTAATGTAGTAATTAAGTATAATAGGAACTCTTCATCGTCAAATCACATATAAGATAATAAAAAATTGAGAAGAGATATCGTCACGCGTGCCCATTATTAAATCTGATTATATTCAACTAAAGTTATAAAACTTATAAAACTTAAAAGTTATAAAACTTAAAATCTCCCTTTCCACCATTGGTGTTGTTAGCCTGCTACAAAAAAATCGCAATTGTTAAATTAATCCGTCGTATAATTTAAGTATCTTTAACCAACCTTTCTCATCCCTAGGCTCACGGGCACACCACAATCCATGCAACACTAGTGTGCCCTTACTACATAAACACAGGCATGTTCGACGGCGTCACCCCCCGACTGATGCCCATGTTGGAGCCAGACTACGTGGCCGAGACCATGATCGACTCCATCAGGAAGAACGAGGTCAACTGCATCATGCCCGGATCAGTCAGATACCTTCTACCTCTGAAATGGTAAGAGCAATTTTATTAGACATTCGATAGCCTCAAACAAAAAGAAGCATAACACAAGTGTTGTTTTATACCAGTTTTCTGTGAAAGCTCGCTTTAACTCTAGTCGAGATGGCCCATTTCTGCCGAAGCATGGCTTTCCCACTCTCAAACGTGCTTGCTTGTACAGAATGCATATTTGAAACATACGGATCATTTTAAAATCACTTATATCTGCATATTTGCGCTGCGACCTCGGCCTAGAGCTGAAGGAACAGGGGTCTAGAGGTAATATCCGGCCACCGTAAGCGCGGGTCTGCGGACGGAGAATAGAACAACTCGCCGCCCAACCAGAACCAGACTCAAGCGTACGGCGCGTAGCGTTCCGCGCGCGCCTCATAGAGCCAATAGACCACCAAAGACAGGGCCCTATAGGGCTGATGTTCAGCCGGGGTTGCGGGGTAAGCGCAATGAGGCAGCGCGACCTCGACCCTGGCCGGGACAAGTCATTTGATGATTTTACCTTTACAAAAAGAAAGGGGTAGTCTCAAGTGACTTTAATTTGAATTGCATAGTACATAATAATTTTAATAGACATCGATAATACTGAATTTCTTACATAATTTCCAGCCTGCTGCCAGCGAAAATGTGTTGGGACCTAATGCACAGAGTCATGAAGGGGCCGCAGTCTATGATGGAGTTCAAAGGAAAGCCAAAGGCTGTAGTTAGTTAGAACATTAGTTTATAGATGCACAATTTAATTTGTAAATAAGGCAAACTATAAATGTTTTTATAATAACTATCGTGAGACATACTAAATTAACTAAAAATCGCGTGTAAATATTGCGCGGACGCGGCTCAGTATGCTGCGCGACGTCGCCGCGTCCGCGCACGCTGCTCATGAGGAAGAACCCCTCTGTGGTTCGAAACTAGTAGAGCTTTTCTCAATATTTACACGTGAGTAACCCGCGATTTTTAGTTAATTTAGCAAACTATAAAATTTGAAATCCTTCGATCATAAAGGTCGATCATTCTAGAGATTAAACAGAAGACTGAACATGTTTTCAGTAGCATTTTAAGTTAAGGTTTTAGTAAGTAATAAAAGATTGGATATCATTTTTTTTTTTTTTATTTCTTAAAAATATTCCGCAAGTACGAATATCACAAACATAAATATCTTGGTAGACTTAGATTTACTATCACACACAATCAGAATAAGTCATAGAAGAAATCGAGGCCTTGCCCCAGCTCCCATATTGCTACACCCGTACCATACTCCTTGGCCAACTCGAGACGTTTTTGTATAGAATATAAAGTTGGGTAGAATATCTTCTTCGTGCCCTGAGATGTTCTGGAACAAAAACATAACATTTTTTATAAAAAGTTTTTAATTTTGTAAGTTCTTGGTTTAGTCTCATCCAATCATAAAATAAAGAAAACATTTACGATAAGCATTAGAAGAATAATTAAAACATCAAACCTTGTAAAAAGTGTTAATTATAGAAAAAAAATTACAAATACAAGCTAATATTATAAATGCGAAAGTAACTGTCTGTCTGTCTTTTCTTCGCCTGATCTACTGAACCGATTTCTATGATTATTGGGACAGATATAGTTTGGAACTCCAGAAAGAACATGGGACAGTTTTTATACCAAAAATCTACAGGAAGTCACTATACCACGCGAACGAAGTCGCGGTCAGAAGCTAGTACTCATATAAATACTAAAGCGTGTAGGAATTCTTAAACTCACTGGGAATTTGTATGAGCAAGCATATAAATGTTAAGTATGCTAGGAATTCAAAATTGAGGAACTCAATTAGACTGTAGGATATGCTTCGTAATTTTGCTCATCTGTAGTTGTCCATTATCAGACATAATATAAGACTAATACAGAAGAAACATGTTTAGATTACTACTATAAAAACCATTATTAACATACCTTATCTCAACATAATTCTCAGCCGTATTATTATTATACGACAAAGCTTGATTGCTCTTAGCATTCTTCAGTAACTCTATATATTCCGTCCCAACAATAGGACCACCACCATTGGCGGTGTAAGAATTTCCATAGAAATTCAAACCTAATAAGATCTTCGACCTCTTTGATGGGTTTTCATCATTGTCTATGAGTTTCTCAACACATAATCTAACCCAGTATAGCGGTGCATTAGGACCTGAAAGAAATAAATATATTAATAATATGTGTAGCACATAATATTCTGTGCAGGTCGATGCATATTTGAGGGAGGCTACATTCATAGAAACCGTGTTTACAAGACACTGTATAAGATAACAAGTAGGTTCATATTAAAATACAATTGCTGAATGATTTCATTTAATGCCTTCCCATGTACATTAGCAATCTGTTTACTTATAGATAAGACTTGAAGGGTATAAATAATAAATGACAATATAAGGAAGCAGACTATTATCCATGCAAGGCCTGCAACCACTTCTGTTTAGAGTATAAAACCTACACACTAGCTGCACTAAGATATTAAATGTTGAATGGCCGTCAATGCATGTGGTGATGGCAAAAGGGTGTATTCTTATTACACTCACCAGGTTTTTGTGGATTAGAGAAATCATAGGTCATGACTGAAACTGCTTCTACATAAGGGTAGATATCATTAAATGCTTGGATGAAGAACTCATCTGTAGGGTACCCTCGGAAGGGTGGGTAGACTAGAATAAGACTTAGATCATCTTCACTCATCTCCAAACCTGAAAACATAAAGATTGAAGAATTACAACAAAGTGATTGTGCTTTTAAAGTCTTCCAGTTGTTTACCTGTCTCAATAATCTGGTATATGCTTGTGTTTGCAAATCAATATAGGGCTATTCAATTTTGAAGTTCCAAGTAACAAGAATACAGTAGCCCAGGATGCTAAGTATGCAGTTACTCAAGGATTGTGCTGACAGTGTGACGGTTTTGAAGGTTTAGACATAAAAAGACCAAAGTTTGGTATAATAATATAATTCCACCCTCCGCTTACTACCAAAATCCCACTATAGTCTGTGATTAAGTCTTGTTAACATTAGAGTATTTCCATACTGTGTGATCCTGCATGCTGTCTGGCTATAACATGTATGATCTTGAGGTTTAAACAAATTTATTTTAGGGTCCTTACCAAACTGCTGTATAAACTTGACAGACTTGTCAACATATTTTCCAATCTGTGACAGTACTTCTAGCACTACACCATCAAACTTCCATTGTTTGCAGGCTTTCTTTATTTCTTCTATCAGAGCTTTCTGTTCAGTGTGAGAAGTTGGCTCCATGAAGAATGCCTTCAAGTCTGATGGCTGCCAGTTTTCAAAAAGTATCCTTGGTAATACTGCAACAATCATATTTAAAAACACTTGACATGTAGTTCATACTAAAGTCATCAAGATGATTTTTTTGTTTAATGTTTATTCAAAAAAACAGAGATGTAAGAAAAAAAACACAAGCTACAAAATGGAGCTGCAATTTCCTGATTGTTTAGTATCTTCCTGCAGTCCTTGAATAGGATAAATGTAAGCAACACAAGACACTGTGTTTAACAATAAAATTTTATTTTATTTTGGAGTGTTATTTTGTCTACAAAACAGAAGCACTAATATAGCCCCTAATTATTTATAATTGTTTTAGAATTAATTTTACTATATTCATTCCCATTAAATTAATATATCAACCAAAATAGCAACAATTTTATTGAAAGAGATGAGTTGGCATCTAACAGTGATGTTTTACAGTAAAAAACTTACATTTAAGGTTGGTAGTAGAACCTTTTTGCTTGACTGATTTCATCCAGGCATGGTCAACATCATGCAGCCCGGATATAATATAAATGTTGGGAGACTGACGCTTGATTTGCAGCCAAACTGGAGAAACATAGTTGAACTTAGGAGCCCATGTCTTCGCCACATCATATCCTTTATTGTTCCACTACAAAAATGTTTTATAACAGTTAGAGGATTAATGGAAGGATGCATGATAGCTGCCCTTTACAGCGCAATATGTACGTAGAATACTCATCGATGTTAGTGAAATACTTACGGGCGTAACGTAACCCAAAACAGCGTTCTTGAAGTTACGTGTTGTTACATCCTGGTGGTATGTAGCATGATATTTGATGATGTCTTTCACTAAAGGCGATTCATTGACTAGCTTTCGATCTAGTACATTGTTTTTCCTCGGTCCTTCCTGTGGTTTTACACCCTTTTGCCCCTTCTTATCAGAGGGTGGCGATAATGTCGCGAAACACACATTTAAAAGGAAAATTATTTGCAAGACAGTTTTAATACATTTCATTGTAAATTATTATTTCACAAGAACACTGGTTTTCACACACAGTTCACTGTAATTCAGAATATAAAAGAATATTCTATGCACTTCAACAACAGTCAACAATTTCGCCGGGTGCAGCGTAGAGATGTCAAAAACATCAATAATGTTGATATCGATTTTTGTACTTGACATTCCTGTCAACATAATTTAGATTTATTGTTTCACATTGTTTGTCGGTTCGAAATATGAATAAGAACTATAACTATTTGTTTCATTAAAATAATTATTTTGCACTTCAAATAATGCAAGCAATTATAGAAAGCACATGAATATTAGTGTATCGATATTTCGATAGTCGATGTCGATAGAAAAACGTTTCAACACTCACGTCCCTAGTAACCACAGATAACGCTAATTCTTACGTGTTCCACTCAGTATCGGTAATCTAACTATTTACTTATAATGTATCGTTCTTCATCATTCTATACGAGTATGTTGATCTAAAAACAATATTTTTATTTATAATAGGTTAGGTCATTACAAATGAATCTTCATTATTATAATTATCAGCCTATAAGTGCATACAGCTGAGCACAGGCCTCTTGGGCCTCTTCTCGCCTAGAGAATATAAACAGAAGCTATAAGTCCTGATCCCCTCACGATGTTTTCCTTCAGCGTGAAGAAAATGATTGATAAATATAACCAATAAAATATTATTTACAAATTTACAATGTCATTTTCATGTGGTTTATGAGTTGTTACATAAATATGTAATTGATAATTAAGTAGTGGGAACGCCAAGAGAATTCTATTTTTATTTCTTTACCTCTCCATCTTTTATCCACACCCCTAAAATTGTACGATCATCAAGCGGTCCCATGGTGTAATGGTTAGCACTTTGGACTCTGAATCCAACGATCCGAGTTCAAATCTCGGTGGGACCTGTCATTTTTTATACGTAGGTAAATGATTATGTATTATTCATACTTACATGTACATTTCAGTAAGGTGTAATGTTTATTTTCATTTTCATATTTTTATAGGTAAGTTGATTTAGTAGAACTAACCCTTAAATATTTAGCGCATGTTATACCTACCTTGCTTTGCTGTAGGTATACCTATGTACCTACACCATATAGTATAAGTTACCGATTAATTTACTATTTCACATAAGTCGTTCATAACAAATTAAGTTCTTTTTTCAAATTATCTCTCTGATACGAAACAGGCCCTTAAAGTGTATATGTATAGGTATATCTTCGCAGCCATGAGTGTGAGTAGGTACCTACTTTAATGTAATATTTAGAATTTTGTACATACCTAAATAAGATTTTACTGAAAGATTTATTACGTATTATGTAAGAGTGTAATATAATAAAGACTGCGAGTACAGATAGGGAATGAGGATCATACCATGCAGGGCGTTTGGGAAGAGACGTCAACAACGTATTAAGCTA